TTGGCTTTACTGGAAGATTCATGCTGACGCTGTTTCCGAGGTAATATCCTTCGATTCCGGTGAAGAGGCAATAAGCTTTCGTCCGTCATATGATGAACATCATCAGAGCAAGGTATCGTCACAACAAAATTCAAGCTAACGAGTCAAGGAAACTCACCGGCAAATCCCTTAAAGGTAGTATATATACTCTACCCAGTCCTGCCATCGGCCTTTCACGGCCCGTATAGTCGCTTGAATTACAAATAGAAATGAGATTCTCTTATGCTAGTTGCATTCGGGAGATTATGGCAAACAGCATTTGTGTAACGACTAAGCACAGACCTAATATTACAAGCTATGCTGAGACTGCCTCTTACTTTACTTATCAATATTACAATGCAAAAGCACCTAGCGAGGGGGACCTACTTTTACAGCCTCTAACTAATCAGATACACATTCACCGCTAGTGAAATACAGGAGCGAAGTTACTGTAAAAATCCACTTATATTCATCGAGTCAATAATTCCTCTAAATGACATAATCGACTAAGTCAGTTGCTTATGTCATGGAATGTTTAAACTGGTGTTCGACATGTAATTTTCATAGATCTAACCTGGCGTAATGCCCAGAAACGAATTTTTCTATAAAAATAAAACGTAAAGCCTAGAGGTGATGCTTGATCTAATTAACTAAGATTTATTATTTACATAATAAGGAAAATAGGATCAAAAGCCCAGAAAGAAGTGATCTCGAAGTTACGATCGGAGTGGCAGTGATCTAATGTTCGATGATGATCCATTTTGCACAATCTCTCAGACTGATTCTCTGAGCAAAGCGGATTTCTGCCTAGCCGTTGGCTAGTTACGGATAAACTATGATTGATGTAACGACCTGCGTTTATCCACCGATGTTTACCTCCTAGATTTCATTTACTGATAGCAAACAACGAATAAAACAATTGAAAACTACAGGAAACCATTAGTGTGGACTGCAACCTGTCATCTTGCTATATCTAACGCCAATATTTTTGGGGTGGAAAAAATTGCTTTACCCTTTGCATTCGTCCCCATAGACAGATTAGTGGCGAATATTAAAAAAAAATAGCATGCAACAAAGCGGTGTAGATAAAGCTGAACCACGAGATAATTATGCATATTCTCGAGAGATGCAACTCCTGTAGAGTTAAAGCCCCTGCCAAACGAAACCCACAGCAACAAGGTGTTTGCAGGCTGACCTTGATAAGACAGCAAATGAGTAAACACAAATATGCTCATCGTGACACCGGGCATTTTCACGGAAGAGACAATAAACCAAAAGGGATATAATATCCCCCACTGTCTGAATTTGAGCAGGGCTTTGATGTCTACACAAGCGAGATAACTACTATAGTGTTGCATAAGAAATGAGGCCGAGAAAAAAAGGATTTAAATCTAAAAGATAATGAAGGTTTGAGATGATCGAACCACCATATACGTATAACACGAAAGCTGGCTTAAGTTAAGGAGCAATTCAAATAGGAGCCCATTTGATATAAAATAAAGAAAGGTGCGCTAGAATAGTGTGGTAGTAGTTGTAACAATAAGTAGATTTGAAGATACACAAATTAGGGAAATTAGATATGCCTCTTTACATTAGATACAATGGTATGTGGTGAAGCTGTAATTACATGGTATGGTAATTGAAATAATAAACAACGCCTAACAAGTAAATAGCAGAGATTTAAAATCTAAGTTTAAACAAGTTGCGGATCAATAAGGTAAAAATGCCAACCAAGTATGGCAAAAATGAAAAAAAAGAGCAGAGTACAAATTCAAAGAAAGCGGACTTAGTGTACACAAAAAATCAAAATTGAAAATGTGGCGTGGGTACAAATTTGAGACAATATCCAGTAACACTTGTCAAATGCCTCGTTTTCGTGAAAAGCTGGGAATTTCTGGGCTTAAGAAGAATAAGAAGGTGATTCAAAGGATCTAGTTGTCTGGATTAAAGCGCAGATTCCATAGAGGCAATATGAGTGCGGATAACTGATCTGCATATAAGAACTCTCTGATTCGATTAACACAGTAGGCCTCGGTAAAATGAGTATATAGTTAACAGTATGCGTGACCAAACCAGCAGATGGCTATGATAAGTTAGTTTAAAAATGTATGCAGAAGTTGAGCTTTTAGAAGATGAGACAAAAAAGGTGTATAGCTTTATAATATAGACATAATGTAAGAAGGATAAATCCGAGGGTAGAAGCAAGTATGAAAAGAAGGAGTCCAAAAGAAGCAAATCAGAAAATTTAATTAAAATGTAGAATTGAGAACAGACAGAGAAGTTATGTGCCTCGAGTTTGTGGGATGTGTTGGTTGTTGAGATTTTACTGCTTCAGTTGCCAGAACCTTATCGCATGATCCAGATAAGCACATGTAATAACCCCAGAATCCCTGGAAGCGATGGCTAAAAGGACGCGACCTCGGCAAGTGAGGTTACTGGAAGATCTATCTGCTTGGCATGGGGCCGGGCAAAAGCACATGAGATGAGAAAGAAAAGTTTGCTTAGTGTGACTGAGAAATGAACTGTTTGGATAAAAGTCAACTGAGAATTGCGTAGTAAGATGTTTATGATGAATATCAGTAACTTGAAGGCACAAATCTTGCTCTTTTATGCCGATGCAAAAGTTATGCCCATCAATAAGTGATGAGCAATGTGCATCCACAGACAAAGAAGAGCTTTTGGTTTCTAACTCATTCACTAAGGAAGTGACTCCAATTGGAGGAGGTAGAGAATCGGAGAGAATCAAGGACATTTTGGAAGTAAGTAAGCTAGGTTGCCTAATCACTTTTTTGTAACTTTTTGAATGAAAATAGGGAAGTAAAAGGTCAGAAGAAAGATAACCTTGAAAAAAGCTATCTTCGTTTTTCCTGTGGTTTTTAAATCCTGAATCACTTACTACAGCATTTGAAGGACATTCTTGGGAATTATTATCAAAGTCGCCAAGCTCTTCTTCCTTTTCCCTACTTACGTCTTCTTCTTCTGCCTCTCTACCATCTTCATCTTCCTCCTCATACTCCTCCTCCTCCTCCTCCTCATCCTCATCCACATCCTCATCCTCATCCTCATCCTCTTCCTCTTCCTCTTCCTCCTCCCTGTCTTCCTCTTCCTCCTCCTCCTCTCCCTCGTCTTCCTCATCGTCATCTTCTTCCTGCTCTCGTTCCTGGTCTTCTTCTCCTTCCTCCTCCGCTTCATCTTCCTCCAGCTCTTCATCTTCCTCTAACTGCTCTTGTTCCGTATTTTCCTCGGAAGAAGCGGCCCGGTGGCTCAATGCTTCAGCGAACTCAGCTGGTAAATGATCTTCAAGATCACTTCGTGACAAAAGAGGCGGAGACTTCAAAGAGACTTCAGCAGAAGAGATGGGCGATAATCTGATGGGGGGCTGGAGTGGTGGGAAAGGAAGAATGGATGCCGAATCACCTAAGATGGAAGTAGAGCAGATATCGTGACAACTGGTAGTAGGACACTCGATTTCATCAAAGTTATAAAGAGAGGTCTCAGTTGGAATAAGATCGGCGCAACGACCAATAGGGCGTGATGGAGCCTCGTCTGGCTCAATAGACTGTCCAATACTCAGTTGGGTGTTATGAATACCAAATGACAATCCATCCAGATTGGTACCTGCCCCAGGTGACACGGCAGTGACGGATTGCAACACTTCCTGCAGCCAACTTGGTCTCTCAGCTTGACAGCATGATAAATCCGGAGTCAACGTGGACTCAAGAAGATCCTGGGAGGGGTGAGAGTAAAGCAAGCGGACGGCAGTAGGCCGATACTCTTGAATCAACTGACGAGTAAGTCTCTTTAAGCGCTGGAGACGCTGCAAGAGAAGCTGTTTTCGTTTACAAAGATCCTAAAACGAAAAAAATGTCTTGCAAATCAAACTACTAAATTTGCAAAATAATAACATAATTTTGCTTAGATAACGGGTACATAAAAATCATTAAAAGTGCTGATGACAATATATAATATAAATAAAAAAAAGTTAGAAGTTCTTTGAACTTGTTTTCACAACTCCAAAATACT